TCTTCCTCTTCCTCTTCCTCTTCCTCTTCCTCTTCTTCCTCTTGTCCATTATACACGACTAGATTCCAATGGATTATTTGATGTCTTACTGACTACTTAAGTTTTTAGAAGTTATGTCTGTCACATTTTTTACTTAATTAATAATTTGCCTTACCGTGTAGACTCTTATTAAGTCCGATTTAGACGGTACAACCATCGCATGTAACTTGCTCGAACTTGCTCGCGTCATCCATACGACACGAGTACATGAGAACATGTTTTAAAATCCTACGACAATCGTAGAGAAAAACAAGCAAATTTCGCTACTGTGACGCCAACGAAAAGACTCCAAAGAAAGAGTGTAAAAACTTCAGAGACGAGGAACTAGAGCATTTTATTAGTCTATGGAGCAAAAGAGGAGACGCTTTTCAATTGAAGGCATAAAGACTACTTTTAAAAAAATGAGTGTTGCAATTCAACGATTTTTTGTGAAAGTTTGAACAATGAGTCGCGCGCGATTTTTGCGATTGTCAGGCAAAAAAAATGTCTTAGGCGTGTAGTTCTGACTTAAGTCGTGTCGCAAGCTCGAGCAGGTTGCATGTGATGGTTGTAGGCAAAAGTTGTACCGTCTAAATAGGCCTTTACGGGGCTTACAGGGCACGTCCGCTAATCAAATCGTTTCAAATGGATCCAATAGAGTCCAATGGAGTCCATTGGAAAGATAATGATAACCATATGTTCACGATATTCCTTTTTTCCGATAAAAGTCTACTTAATGTCGTGTAATTATTATTTATATATTTTGTAAATATATTGTTATAGTCTCATAAAAAGCAGAGAAGATAGAGACTGTTATGTGTATAAAGGAATTCAGTCAAGTGCTTTCGGGAGTTTATTAAAGAGTCCTCACATATTTGCATGTTACCTGAAAACAAGATAGCACCCACGGCCAGGTAACCTGGCCATAGAAAGGGTGTCCGGAACTAGTTGGATAACAAACATAACATCCCTCCTCTCTTATAACAAAGTAAATGTTGAAATGCTAACAACAGTGTCCCCGAATTTTGGAGATCAAGCTCAGGCTCACAAGTTTAGCTTCTCTTATGGAATGCCCTTGTTAAAACGAGGTGATCTTCTTGGAGTTGGTTCAGAAGTTTCAGGATCAGGGGGAATTCCTCTTGCAAGAACGTCTGACTAAGTAGCTCGAGGAAGCTCCTGCGTTTCAGCATCAATTGCATCATCTCTGCGTGTCTCTGAGTTAGCTGATTCTTCTGGTTGATGAACTTGAGATGTTAACTGTGCGAGTAAAATGTTTCTCCTTATAATCTGATCGATATGTCGACGACGAACTGCACAACCTGCCTGAGACTGCGGCTCTACCTCATATACATTGCATTTCCAATAGGTGCTGCCACTGTTCCAGTAGCCCATTTACCTTCCCCCTTTGTAAAGTTCATGTACCACACTTCCTTCCCTGGGACAAACGCACGTTTGTGCCGGGTTTCATCGCACTCAATTCGGTGTCACTTCCGGCGAACTCGCTAATGTACATAACATTTACCAGTCTCCGCTAGCTAAATTTGACATCACGGCCATCACAAATTACAGTAAACTCGCTTACTTTGATATAAAAGTCGTTTCCTTAGTGTAAGTAATTGAACAAAAAGCGAAAATTGTACAGCGTAAAATAAAAGTTGATTTGCCTATCTTATTGTACTGACCTTTACTTTTCTCAAGGTTTCATTCCTTCAAGCGATTTTCTTCAGAGCAATAACTGCGTTTTTTGTTTTCGGAGATTGGTAATCTCGCCACCATGTGAAGAAAATCGTCCCCAACAGTTTTTTTAACGTAAATTATGAAAATTTGTATACCGGATTCTGCAGTTGCATTTCTCTTGCCTACTTCAATCAATGCTTTTTGATGACAAAAATGGGCGTCACGTGACCAGCTTTTCTGACACCTTGTTTGAATCTTTAGCGCTACGGCTACACTAGGGTTAGGTTTAGGGTTGCTTTGACAGGGTTAGGGTACAGATTTAGGCTAGGGTTAGAATTGGGTTAGAGTTGAGTTTGAACTAGGGTAAGGGTTTTGAGCTTGGGTTAGTCACGTGACCAAAATGATCTGTACTAACATGTGACTATGTTCAACTACCTAGAGTTCTTTGGTGATAACTATATTCGAAAAT